CGGGGTGCCCCGGGGAGCCGCGGGGGAGGGGAGGCCTGCCGGGCCGCAGTGCCCCATCCTTTGGGCGGCCTCCATCCTTGGTTGACAGGAAGGTGGGTGCCCTCCTCTTCCTCGTGCTGCTGCCCCCCTCCAAGGGGAGCCTGCGGGCCTCGGGTCCCCTGTCCAGCTCCCGCAGCACCATGTGTTGGGCTGTGCCCAGGAGCGTGGCGGTTGCTCTGTGGTGTCCGCGTCCTCTGGGCCAAGGGGTCAAAGTTGGAGGCAGCTGGCAGGCTGCGGTGCCCTCGGCTCTGCTGCTTGGATGGGGCTTGGTCACTTGAATGGGCCTATGAGGTGGTCTGTAGTCAGGGTGGTTTTCCCTCTGTAATAGCTATTTGTTCCCCAGGGGGTGGGAGCCATCGGTGGAAAAGTTCCCATTTTTTTTACAGCGATGGTAACGTGGAGAGGCGCTGGACCTAGCATGTGGCCAGGACGGCGGGGAGCAGACGCACTGCATAGAAATGTGTTCTGATCTGGCTTCCTTTCTGGCCCTCCAGACCAAGTATTATTAAGCGCATTGTAGCATAAAGACAGCAATTAGCCACATCATACCTAACCCCTCGATTTGTACATAATAGCTTGTGTGCGACACAGACAACCAGAGAAGCTTTGCATTGATTATGCACAGCACCTACTGTAGAGCACTGTGGAGAGATGCATATATATTTTTTAAAGACTTTATTGTTTGACATCATTTGTATCGGTCAGAAACAATCCATAGATGTTACTCTATTAAGTCAGGGCTGTGCAACCGGCGGCCCATGGGCCACATGCAGCCCTTGAGGCCAAATGCCCCTTGAGGGGTTAAATGATGGTCTCTGGGCTCCTGTCACTTGCTCTTTTGCTCCAGCTGCAAAAAGAGTGTCTGGGCTTCCCCTCCCCCTTCTGGCTTTGGCTGCTGCCCCTGCTCCAGATGGGGCAGTACAGCATTGCAACCTAGGAAGCTGAGGGTGGGGTGGGCCTGGGGCCATGTGCCTGAAGTGGAGGGAAGGAGCTCATGTTGTGCTGCTGGAGCATTCATGCCAGGCATGAAGTGCACTGCTTAGGGGAGCGGTGGGCGTGCGGTGCAGCAGTGTGGGGTAGAGGGTGTCTGTGCAGCGTGCGGACCAGGGGGCCCAGGGCTTGCCTGGTGCAGTCCACAGGTTGTGTGGCTCCTGCAGACAAGGCCCATGGGGCATTTGGGTGCCAGCTATGTAGAAGCTGGACAGTCCTGTACTAACTAAGTGATGATACAAAATAGGTGATCATTTCACATACTCTAATAGAACCATTTGATATCAACAAAACACTTTGGGGGTGTCTAACCAGAAGAGTTAGTATGGGGGATTGGTATCCATGTCTGACCATGGGGATTAGTTTTATCAGGGTGTGAATGGCTACATGGCAGTTACTATGTCCTCATGCTGGTGCTGCACTCATGTGTGACAGACTTTTGAGTGCATATCCCATGATTCTTTGTGCTGCAGTAAGCCTAGCTATGCTATCTTCCTTTCTCAGTGAATCATGGAAGTAATTTCTGTCCCTTTGGGCACATGTTGGGGAGACCCCTGAGATGCCATTACAGGCTCTCAGTCATGTATCTATCTTGCTTCTCGCTGCAGAAAAAGGCAGGTGACAAACCTAAGCATGAGGATACAAGACATGATTACTGTGGAATAATTGGCTTTGGATTTCACTCTGGAATAAACTTACTTTCTAATAAAAAGCAGTAACAGGACCAGCTCTCCCAAGTAGCTGCCCATAGTGGGTGCTATTACAGCACCTTGTTGCTAGGAGGCAGGGGAATTGGTTTGCACTAAACAAACAGCTACCCAGTGATGAAACTGTCTAGTGGAGAAAATACCTGGTTAATACATCAGTCTGTCTGAGGGACAGCTCCAGGGTATCTTGCATTGATATAAGGCTGTGCATCATGTGTCTGCTCTGTTTTTTTGTGCAATACAGGTTCAGTTTACTCCATTGAAAACACGTCTACACCCTGAGCAAAGATGGAACCAGGCATTTGACCCAGCACATGCTCTGGAGCAGAGTTGGCATGTACTGCATGCGGTGCAGGGGAACCACATGGAGCATGCACTGTATGTGGTAGCTTTTGCACAGCCCAGTTCAGACGAGTCCCAGATCCAATGCACAGGTCTGATCTGGTGGGATACTGCTTGCAGCACACCTCCTGGACTTGGCCCCCCTGTGCCACAGGCAGCGCCTGTATGTAGGACTGGGTTCAGCCTATGTGCCAGACCAGCTCACGTGCTGCATATGGCACACATGGTCAGTCCAAGACCTATGTATTGGATCTGGCTTGCAGGCTGTACGTTTGGAACCTCTGGACTAGATGTTCTGATCTTATATGGCAGTTCCCATGTTCTCGGACAACTTTACCTGTTAACCTTCAAAATATGTGGTGAGAATAAACTTTATAACTCCAAATGTTGCGAACTTTTAAAAATGAAAGCTATTTTGCACAATTCTTTGTTGCTCAACTTTGAAAGATTCCAATTGGCCTCTTTTTTTTTTTTTTTTTAGAGTGTGCTGTGAGTGCCACATTGACCCAAATGTGTAGCTCCCACTGACAAGGGGATTTCACATTCTGAGTGATGGCCAAATGTGACTTTATAAAATGTTGTCACACTTAAGCCATCATGGTATTTTGCAAGCTGTCAAGGTTATTGTGAAGTAGTGATGTGGCTTTTTGGAGTCCTCTTTGGTAACTTGGATATTTTCAGTGACTATGATTTGAGACTTTGATTTTCTTTTTTAAAGACTGCTCACATATACTAACCAATAATTTGACTCAATTATTACTCAGCCTCTGTATAAGTCTTGCTTGACATAGAGCACCCCTGTTCTCCCATTAGTGGCTGGACCACAAATATAATTTTGTGTCTGCTGCTGGATTTAAGCTGATAGGTTTGGTCCATGAGCTCATGTAGTTGATGCTCATGTGTGGGGTTTTGTTTGTTTGTTTTTAATAAAGATGCAAAGGCCCTGAGTTTAGTCCTTGTGGTTGTTATATTTGCTGTGCCCTTAAAGAAGTAATTTTGATTTTTTTGGTAGGCAATAAGTTGGTTTTAAAGTTGAAAGTATAATTTTTAGCCTTTCATGATGCTTGTTCATCTTTTCTATATTGTTTATAAATGGAACTTCAGTGCCAAGAGTTGAAATCTGAATCCTTCAAGAATTTTGTTTTCTGTGTTAGTTTTGCTCCATGGGCATGTTTAACATACAGCTACTTGTGATAGAGCTTTAAAGCTGTTAAATTACCCCTGGGATTACACAGTTTTGACCTTTCTCTTCCCTCCCAGTCCTCCCTTTGGAAGAATTGCACCAAATAGTTTTGCCTACTGTGCGGGCCGGCTCCCGATCTCGGGGGCGAGCCAGGCCCATCTTTGTGCACACAGGCTGTGGCCAGCAGCCCGGGCACGCGGGGCCGGAGAAAACTGTGGCACGGTATGGTACGCTCGAGCTAGTATCAGTCACGGAGGCGTAATGGTTGATTGAAAAGATTATTTACTTACACCCAAGGTGGTCGCGGTGTAGGCTGGTCAGCTTTCCAGGCACAGCTCCGCTTGAGTTCTCGGTGGAGGACTCTGATAGACTCGATTCCTTGACCCCGGAGTGGTTTAAGCTCCGCGGGTTTAACAATTCTCTCTCTCGGAGCAGCTGAATCTCCGTGGGTTTCATTCTGTTCCCAGGTCCCCCGGAGCTGTTAAGACTCCGTGGGTTCGACAGTTAAGTCCATAGGATAGGGATACGTCTAGGATTGCGGTTGGCGACGGGGAGAGGCTAGAGGTTATGTGCCTCGGAGTTGTTAAGGCTCCGAGGGTTCGGAAATTAGGTCCTGCAGAGTTGTTGAAGCTCCGTGGGTTCGACAAATTAAACCTCTGTTGCCCTCTTAAGGAAAAAGCTGGGTTCGAAGGGATCAGCAACCTTTAGAGATCCTCATGCTCCTTTCCCAAACTCCACGTGCTTTCTCTCTCTCCGACTTGGGCGGAAACTACCCAAGCCTTTTGTACGGCTAGCAAGTCAATAGCTAGCCCCCACCTCTATTAAGATTGGCCAATAATGTGGTGGAAATCTTAATACAAATGGCGGGAACTTCTTTGTACCGTGCATCACCATAATGCAAAAAAAATGCACGATGCAAAGAAGGCTACAGAACTGGCGGGAAAAGCTCCTGCACGCGGGTTCTTAATTGCAACAGAACACTCCACCGTGCAAAAGAGCTGCAATTTAGCGGGAACAGAATTTAGCGATGCCGAAGCACACACAAACAAGAAAATCACAACTTTGAGTTGTGACATCCCCCCCTTGCTGAGAGCATAGCTAAATTATGCTATATACTCATATCAAGAACCTTGTCGTGAGTCGTCAAACGAGCAAATAAACAAACATAAAATTCGCTGCCCTGAACAGTTAAAACATGAAGAATAGTTAACATATTATATGTTGGGGTGAGAAGTAAAAGAATAATAGGTGAAACGTCTGCAGAAATCAGGAACAGGTAAGCATCAAAGAGGGAAAAGAATTGTTAACGTTGGTGTGACAAGAGTAATACATTGCAAAGGAATGAGTAGACTAGATCAGTGGTTTTTCATCTTTTTTTTCCATTTGTGGAGCCCTAACAAATTTTGAATGGAGGTGAGAACCTCTTTGGAAATTTCAAATGAAGGTGTGTGGACCCCTTTGTATTGTAAGTGTGCGTATTCACACACTTTTGAACAAGAGTAATCTTTTGCGGACCCCTTAGTAATAGTGTGTGAACCTCCAGGGGTCTGTGGACCACACATTGAAAACCACTAAAATATAATAATGATTTGAGGTGAGGATTTGGTGGACCAAAGATGGCCTATTTGTTAAAGGTGCCCACCTGGAATCTGAGAGGCCTAAGTTCAGTTCCATGGAGCTGCCACTGACATCCTTGAATAAATCACATGGCCTCCCTCTCTGGGACCTATGGAGGAAGTTTGTTGTGGGTTTTATCAGGTTGTGCGGGCCGCCTCCCGATCTCGTCCATGTCGCCATGTGCGAGCTGGGAGCGATATGCGGACCCGTTTTTGCGCACGCGGGCTGTGGCCAGCAGCCCGGGCATGCGGGGTTGAAGAAGACCGGTGGTGAGCTAGAATTAGTTACGGACGCGTAATGGTTGATTAAAAGATTGTTTACTTACACCAAAGATGGTCGTGGAGTAGGCTGGACAGTTTTCCAGGCTCAGCTCCGCTTAAGTCCTCGCTAGAGGACTGACTCCGACAATTGACCCCGGAGTGGTTGAAGCTCTGCGGGTTCGGCTCGGTAATTGGCCCCAGAGTGGTTGAAGCTCCGCGGGTTCGGTAGTTTCAAAGGAAAGGGATATGTCTTAGGATTGCGCTCGGCGACGGGGAGAGGCTAGAGGTCGTTTGGCCCCCGGAGTGGTTGAAGCTCCATGGGTTCGGTAAATAGGCCCCCGGAGTTGTTAAGACTCCGTGGGTTCGGTAAGTCGGCCCTCTATTGCCCTCTTAAGGAGAAAAAGAAGCTGGGTTTGAAGGGATTAGCGGCGCTTAGAAATCTTCACGCTATTTCTCCCAAACTCCAATTGCTCGCTCGCTCTCTCTCCAACTTGGGCGGAAACCTCCCAAGCTCTTTATACGGCTAGCAAGCCAATCGCTAGCCGCCACGTGTGCATAATTTAGGATCGGCCAATAATGTGGCGCGAATCTAAATACAAATGGCAGAAACTCCTTTGCACCATGCATCACTATGATGCAAAAGAAATGCACCATGCAAAGAAGGCTACAAACTGGCGGGAAATACTGTTTTTGCACGCGGGTTCTCTATTGCAGCAGAAAACTCTACTGTGCAAAGGAGCTGCAATTTGGCGGGGACATAATTTAGCGGTGCCGAAGCACACAAAAACAAAAAACCACAACTTTGGGTTGTGACACAGGTTACTTGTAAATACAGTTCCTTTAATACTGTTGACGCCAGTGTTGGTATAATGGACATGGAATATATGAGTAACTTCCTTTTGTTCAACTAGTCTAGCTTTACATTTAGAATCTGTGAATATTTAGGATATAACCTTAAACTTGTGGCAAGGATGGGTGTGAATTGATTTTCCTGCCCCTTTTACCCCAAAGTCTAATACTGTTTTTTCTGGTCAACATTCATAGCAATGGCTTTGCATTGCTGTCTTTTGCATGGATCTCAGTATTCTGTGCCTGTAGAGTGGCTTGGGGGATTGGTGTCCAAGACACTAATTTATCTTACTATTAAACATCTTTAAAGATGACTCTTTACCTGTGTATCCAGAATCTAGAAAACTTGCTGCTTCACTTCTGGAATGTGTCAGTGATGTTCTAGGGTTTAGGTTGTAGCCGTGTTGGTCTAAGGACATAGGCAGACAAGGTTCCTTGGCTGAATTTGATATCTTTTATTAGACCAACCCAAATGGTTGGAGAATAGTTATTAAGCAAGCTTTCGGGTGTGTGTCACCAACTGCTGAAGCTTCCTCAGCCTGACGAAGGGTTTTTGAACCCGAAAGCTTGCTTAATAATTATTCTCCAACCATTTGGGTTGGTCTAATAAAAGATATCAAATTCACCCAAGGAACCTTGTCTGTCAATGATGTTCTTGTATCTTTACTGTAATACTTGGGACATGGAAATAACTCTGTCCTTGTTATTGTTTTTTGTTTTGTTTTGTTTTTTTAGTACTTAATATCTGCTTCATGTATTTATTTTCTGTGTGTGTTTTGAAAGCATATCCATTTCATTATCGTTATTTTTTTATCTTTGTATTGTGCTGCTAAATCTTGAACTGAAAAAGAAAGTCTTAAAGTACAGTTTCAAACAGGAAGTGAAATTCTGCAGTTGTCTCCTATAATCCTTAAATTTAACTGTTAAATGTTGCTAACAAGGGCTTTAAGTTTAATATTCTTGCTTTCCTTTTTTACCTTTGAAAAGGAACCAAACAAAGTAAGGAATGGAATATACAATTAGGGTAGCCAAACAAACTCAGCTTGCCTTGTGGTGTTGCTAAGTTATAAACATAACATTTATTAACAGTGTGTGATGGCTTTGTAATTTTAAACCAAATTACACTGACTCTTGAAGATAGACATATTAAGAGGGAAAGTGGAGTTAGAATATTAGGCAGCTGTGCATTTTTAGACCTGAATGTATTTGGTTTCTTAACCTTAATTTTTAGGTAGAAGGTAGGGCAGGGTGGCTTGTGGGTTTGTAATATTTCTTTGTTGTTGAAATACTTAAAATATTCTTGTTACGGTTTCTTAGGCTCAAGTTACTAATGTGTTGGTTCTCAACCAGGGTGCTGGGGTACCCTGGGGTGCAGCGAGATCCTTCGAAGAGTGCCGGAGGAAGTGGTGAGGAAATAAACAGATTAGGGCTGGCTCAGGCTCTCCCTGCC